TGGCACTTCCCCCAAGTGCGTATTTGGGGGGGGGGGGCAGTACACTCTATCTCTGCTACCCCCCTACCTACCCACTGCACGCCTCGATCGCACATGGCACTTCCCCCAGGTGCGTATTTTCTTGGGGGGGGGGGGGGCAGCCCAGCACCCCATGCAGTTAGCCGCCAGGAAGAGGGGCAATTTGCTCTACAAAACCGCTGGATGTAGGCGACCCACGGGTAGGTTTAACGACCGGCGGACAGAGTGGGCGGTTGCCTACATACAGGGGTTTTGCAGGGCTAATAGACTACCTTCCAGGCGGCTCGCTATAGAGACGACTGGCGTCCCCTCCCCCGTTGACTCCCACAAGAAAATTTAGAAGAGTGGCGTTTTCCAGCAAAAAGCATGCCTATATGCCCTTGCAAGTCGAGCAATCATCACCCCAGGTAGCAGAAGCTGCATCAAACCTGCGTTTTGTGTCCCATCTAAAACGCGCGTAACGGATGGGACACAAAATGCACTCTCAGTGCAGTTTACTTAGGTCGGATGGGATGAATGGATGAATGCAACACTCTTCTTGAAGCTTCGATAGTTGTACTTTATCCCCTTGTTGAATTAAACCAGTATCTGCGTCTTCGTCAAAACTGATGTCTTTGTAAGTACATCCTTCTCTATCGTACAGTAACTACTACAAAAAGGTCACGGTGCGGACATCATCAGACTGTCACTTTGGTACAGTACAAATACAAAAACGTTCAGTAAGGCAAGTTTATGGCTCCTAGTAAATGTGATTGAGGAGGTGGATAGCGGGTGTGAAAACGAAGCTCCCTGACAGTGTAGGAGGTGGGAGAGACATATGAGACGCAACAAAACGCATCATCCCCGTGCGATCCCGGTGCAGCAGGTGCAGCAAGGCCGTCCCTTATCTCTCGCTCCGAGCCGAGCCCAGCCGAGGCCAGCCGAGGCCCTCTGCCCGGAGCCGAGCCCGGAGGGGAGGGCCCCGGAGGCGGGGCGGGGCGGGGCCGGCCG